CTGGGGGTGATGGGAGACAGTGACAGATCATCAGTCATTAGATTCTCTTAAGAAGCATGAAACCTGGATCCCTCACATGCGCAGTTCATATGCGGGTTCGAGCTCCTATGAGAACCCAATGCTGCTGGTGATCTGACAGGAGGTAGAGCTCAGGCGGTAAGTGAGTAATAGAAAATGGCTGTAAACACAGATGAAGCTTCGCTTGCCTGCCCACCACCCACCTCCTGCTGTGTGGCCAGATTCCTAACAAGCCACAGATCAATTTTGGTTGCAGACCCCTGGCTTAAACAAGGGAAATTTATCTTCTTACAGTTCTGGAGGCTGGAAGGCTGGAAGTCCAAGACCACAATGCTTGTAGAGCTGGGTCCTGGCCCTCCTCGGCTTGCAGATACCACCTTCTGGCTGTGTCTTCACATAGCCTTCCCTCTGTGCCCACACCCTGAGAGAGAGAAAAAGAGAGAGAGTGTGTGCTAGAGAGATCTGAGCTCTGATATGTCTTCCTCTGTTTATATGGACACCAGTCCTGTGCGGCCCCACACTTACGACCTCATTTAAGCTTAATTGCCTCACTGAAAACCCTTTTTCCAAATATAGTCACATTGGTCTTTAGGGCTTTAGCATATGACTTTAGGGGAACACAGTGCAGTCCACCACACACCTTCAGGACTATTCCAGTGTCTCCTATTTAACCCTTAAGATCTCTTCTTCCCTTCTCTCCACAAGCTCTGTGCGTGTGGACACTGATCTCTATGGGTTTTAATGAGGTTTGGCCAGTGGGGTACGCTGGCCAGAAATTGGAATGTAAGACGGGGAGACTGGGGGCTTAGGTATACATTCACCTGCCCCTAATCTGCAGGGCCAGCACAGGCTAGTGTGTCCCCTGACCAACTCTGATTAACCCCTCTGTCACCAGCTCCAGTGACTCCCCTCTCTCTGTGCCCCTTCAGGCCTAGAAGTGGTTATTGACCCCACACGGTCCTTTGAGGTTTTCCTTCACCATGCTCAGTTATAAAACAGTTCCCTCAGATTATTTGTTCAAAACAAGGACATCACCTCTGTCTGGAAGGGACATTTTCAGGGCAGCAGCAACCTACTGTCCTCTCAACTCAGGACTCTCTCAACCCAGTAGATCCCCAAAGCACCCCTCAGCAATGCCATTGCCCCTCCTTATTGGTGTCTTCCGTGAGTGCTGCCAGAACAGAATGACCTGTGTTCACACTTCTGAGGGAGTCCCCCCTCAGGGTGGGATTTCAGGGAACTTGGGGGTTGGAAACTACGTCCTACCTCTTGGGGGCAAGGCATACATCTAATCTTTATCAGTTCTAATACTACTGCCAAGTCTAGAAAGGACTTGAGTGCTGGTCTGCTCTTACATTCTAAGGCCAAGCTGCAATGAAGTCATGGGAGATTTGGCCAGAAAGGGTACAATAACCAGTAGCCCTCTTTTTGCCCAAAAGAAGACTGTTGTAAGGATTAATAGCTCAGGCTGTGGCTCCAGTCAGTTTTCAAGGTCTGGCATTTTCTTTTTTTTTTTTTTTTTTTTTTTTTGGTTTAGAGACAGTCTTTCTCTGAGCCCTGTTGCCTAGGCTGGAGTGCAGTGGTGTGACCATAACTAACTGCAGCCTCGACCTCTTGGGCTCAAGTGATCCTCTCACCCCAGCCTCCCTAGAAGCCAGGAATATAGGCGCATGCCACCGTGCCTGGCTAATTTTTTATTTTTTTCTTAGAGACAAGGTCTCGCTATGTTTCCCAGGCTTGTCTCTAAGTGCTGGGATTACAGGCATGAGCCACTGCACCCAGCCCGTTAGTGAGCAGTTCTGAGAACCAGTTTGCTCATCTGTAAAATGATGATAATATAAACTTGGATCGTGCAGAGTAATGTTTGTACAGCACTTGGCGCATAGAAGGTTTTTTAGAAATGTTAGCCTCTGTTGTTTTTAGTACACAGTGGACCTTCTATGGGTAAAACCCCTTTTGGCCATAACATGAAAAAATTATCTCTTAAGAATTGACTCTGTGTTTTCCCTCTTAGTAGAGGAATTAAAGTTCTTGTTTCTTTTTATTAAAGTAAGACATGGCCATAGAAGATTGACATAAAAAAAAAATAAAAAGCTTTTCTGATCTTACAATATAGGATAACTTCAATTACATTTTCACGTTATGGTATGCCTCTAAATTTATGCATATAGACTGCTGTACACACACACTTTTTTGTCTTTCCCTTTGTTTTGTTTTTTTTTTTTTAAAGATACAGGGTCTTGCTCTGTCACTCAGCCTGGAGTGCAGCAGAGCAATCGTAGCTCACTGCAGCCTCGAACTCCTGGCTCCAAGCAATCCTTCCACCTCAGCCCCTGAAATAGCTGAGACTAGATGCATACACCACCACTTGGATATTTCTTTTTAATTTTTTGTAAATATGTGGTCTTACCCTGTTGCCCAGGCTGTTCTCTAACTCCTGGCCTCAGATGATCCTCCTGCCTTGACCTCCCAAAGCACTAGGATTATAGGCGTTGGCCACTGCACCCAGTCTACACACATTTTTTCCTAAACTGAGACTATGCTATATCATTTTGTATCCTACGTTTATAACTACATTATCACAAAAATGCTTCCTAAATATTTTCTTATTAAATATTCTTTAAAATCAAGTTACTTTTTAAAGATAGTTTAATTGAATTTTATTCATGGGCACACTGTCATAATTTTACAAATATACACACACACACACACACACATGCTTGTACCATATATGCCTTTTAGTTGCGTTGTGAGTCTTTGTCTATCATCTGTTTTGGCGCTGTTTAAATCAGGTGGGTTTTTGCACAATCCCATATATTCTATTGACCTGTCAGGTGAGGCCCAGTGGGACCCTGATTTTTGCCTGTAACACAGCCCCTCTGTGTCTGATAGAGAGGGAACATATTGATGATGACTTGGAACATTCTTTCTTTCCCTCTGGTATGTTGTTCTGTCTCTGAGGTCTAGACATAGTTTCTCAGTCTGACCACCCTCACCATAGTGATGCATAATCCCTCCTAGAGATTATCATAGCATTGAACAAGATTCTTAGTTTGTGATGGCTTGGTGATTACTGCACCTTTCTCTCTATTTCATGAACATTTTGATGAAATGTTAAGGGATGGTAAACCAGGCCCAGCTGTCGAGCAGCAATAACAACTGAAAGTTTATCCCCCTCTCTCTTCATGAATATTTCCAATTCCTGGGTAATCATAAAGCATTTTTTCCAAGTTCAAGTACAAAAAGAAATGTATGATCAGGTCTGTCAAATCATGTCATAAATATTCCATTCCTTGAAGAGTCAAGGTCAGGAAGAGTTTATCACAGATATTCTAGACTTTGTTGTCTCTTTTTTTGGGGGGCTCTTTTTCCAGAAATTCTAAGAAAGCATCCCCCAAATTTTCCTTCCACCTGGGGACCAGAAAACTAGGGCCAGGAAGGAAGAAAGTCTTTGCCATCACTAGCTTTGTGACTTGGGTTCTCACTTCCTAATAGAAAATGATGGATTTGGCCTCAATGTCCTCCAATTTGCCTTCTAGCTTTAAAATGGCACAATTTCTTAGAGATTCAGCTGTAGCTATTCCCAGAAATACTCTCCATTTTGGCTTAATTCTGTTTTTCCCCGAAGACATCAGCTTATAGTCACTTCACTGTGTATGTCTATATTCTACTTTTCTTCTATTCCTTAATTATTGAGAACTTTAAGAAAGTCTTTTTTTTTTTTTAGACAGAGTCTCACTCTGTCGTCCAGGCTAGAGTGCAGTGGTATGACCTTGGCTCACTGCAACCTGCACCCTCCACCTCTCAGGTTCAAGCAGTTCTCCTGCCTCAGCCTCCCGAGTAGCTAAGATTACAGGCATGCACCACCACACCTGGCTAATTTTTGTATTTTTAGTAGAGACGGAGTTTTCCATGTTGGACAGGCTGGTCTTGAATTCCTGTCAGGTGATCTGCTCATCTCTGCCTCCCAAAATGCTAGGATTACAGGCATGAGCCACCATGCCTAACCAAGAAATTCTTTTAGTTATTTTTAGCTACCAAGCTTTGGTATGAAGAATGTGACACTGTCTTCTAGCATTCTAAGAAAATGTTAATAGATCTATGGTCAAATATGTTTGGAAAAATTACATTAGACTGTATCCTGCTTTTAGAATTTTACAGTAAGCATTCATTTATTAAAGGTGCTTAGAAGTTTTGTAATAAAGAGGCTCACTTAATTTTGTTTAACTCAGGGATTCCCAAACATATGTGATCTTGAAATCCTTTTATTTATGGTAGCATCCATTAACATCCCTCAGTAATTAGTGCCCACACCACTCATGGGAAGGTCAGTTCTATAGAAAGAAGTACTGTTAGCACTTGCTTCTGACACTCACCAACAGTGTGATTGAGCATGGAGGCATAACCTCTGTATAGCTCATGTTCCTCAGTTGTAAACGAGGGTGCATGATAACACCCAATTCATAGCAGATGTGAAGATTTTAAACAATAGTGCGTAACTATGGTAATTACAACTAATAATATCCCAACTCTCATATCTCACTGGGTTCAAATGTTGGCCCTACCACTTACTGATTATGACCTTAGAAACATTACTTAAATTCCTTTTTTAAAAAATTTTTAATTTCATTACTTAACTTCTGTACCTCAGTTTCTCCACAGCATAATGGAGACAGGAATTGTGCCAGCCTCACAGGATCGTTGAAAGAATTCAATCCAGTTCATGTAAAACTCTTTGACTTGTGCTTGGTCCATAAATATTAGCCATTATTATTGTCATTATGTGTGCTCCTGTAACTTTTCTGACCATTTTAGTCTATAAGACCAACTCTTCTTACTCCACTCCCAAAAGCTGCTTAAGCCCAGCATATTAAGATAGCAACACATGCCACCTGCACATACTCAGTTCGGCTCAGTGGATTCTGACCTCTTCATTTAGAGTCATTTCACACCATCATTTAGCTTTCTCTGTTTGTGAACAGGGGCGGAGAGGCCTCGGCTCTGTGTTTGTTTGGGCATCTGGAAATGGCGGAAGGAGCAAAGACCACTGCTCCTGTGATGGCTACACCAACAGCATCTACACCATCTCCATCAGCAGCACTGCAGAAAGCGGAAAGAAACCTTGGTACCTGGAAGAGTGCTCATCCACGCTGGCCACAACCTACAGCAGCGGGGAGTCCTACGATAAGAAAATTGTACGTGCCATATGCATGCCCATCACGATCTGTTTATTTAATGTTCACTTTGAAATACAAAGGGAGAACCATAAATACATATACACAAGTAATATATGGAAATAGAAAATTAGATTCGTTGATAACATCAGAAGTCGTAAACATTGCTAATTGAAAATGCTTGTGCAGTCATCACATTGCAACATTTAATGCGGCCTTAGACGTGATTAAGCTTCAGTTTTATTGAGGATAAATGATTGGTTCACATTCACATTGTGAGTTAGTGGCAGAGAAGAGACTGGAATCTATGCCTGACTCAGCCCTGGGCTCCTATCACTGTGTTTCCACACTGACTTTTAACTTTAGCTTTAGTGCTTTGGTTTCTAAGTACAGCCAATTCAGTGTGAAAAACAAAAGTGTGTAAGGAAACTCAGAATTCCATTGAAACTATACTTACTTAACATGAACTAAACCTCTATAAAAGGTGCAGTTTTTTGTTTGTTTGTTCTTGTTTTTATGATGTTGATGACGAAGTCTGTTGCCCAGGCTGGAGAGCAGTGGCGTGACCTCGGCTTACTGCAACTGCTGCCTCACGGATCCAAGCCATTCTCCTGCCTCAGCCTCCCAGGTAGCTGGGACTACAGGAGCCCACCACCATGCCCAGCTAATTTTTGTATTTTAGTAGAGACAGGGTTTCATGATGTTGGCCAGGCTGGTCTCAAACTCCTGAACTCAAGTGATCCACCTGCCTCTGCCTCCCAAAGTGCTGGGATTACAGGTGTAAGCCACCACAGCTGGCCAAAAAGTGCATTTCTTATAGACAGCACAAAGTTTTCTGGGTGGAGAAGCACAGAAGCTGCATGGGATCCCCCGTTTACCAACATATCCTGTACTCTAGGCAAACAGCCAGTGTGATTAAGAGTTCAGGTGGCAGGCCCAGCCTGCATGAGTTTCTTTCACTCTTGAGCTATTTGCTAGTTGAGTAATTTTGGACAAATTAATCTGTCTGTCTCAGCATACTTATTTATACAAAGAGGACATTTAGTAGCACAGAGTTCATGGAGTTATTACAAAATAATGAGGAAGGCAGTAAGAAGTGCTTAGCATAGTATCCGGCCCTTCAGTGCTTACAAAAGCTCTAACTTTTCGGGGGTGCCCAGCACTGTGCTGCTGATTATAAATTTCACACACCTTTGCACTTTGCCCTTTTTCCTGATCATGATTTTGTAAACTGTCTCTGGATATTTCTTTTTAAGGTAGAGCTAAGATGCTGTACCTGACACTTTTTAGCGCTTAGCCAAGACCCTGCTTCTGGCTCTAACAGATCTACGCAGGTTGGGGTCACTCTACTGGTGCTCCCTCTGCCTTTCCCGCAGTCCATAGGGGATAGGACTGTACCTCCTTTGTGCAAGTCTTAATCCACATCCATTCTATTCCTCTTGATTCCTGGTTACTATATGATTTTTCTGTTTCATTTATCAGTTACTTTTTACTACCTTCTTTAGTTACATTTTGTAGATGGATTTAGGTAAAAATTGCCTCCCCATATACATATCCCCCTCTTTCCCTAATTGCTCCACAATGTCTGGGTTTAAATATATACACCCAATTCTATCTGTCAGTACCTCCAACATTCATCAATAAGCATAACTCCGAAGCAGCAAGTAAAATATAAAAGGCGAAAATGCAGAGATGAGCTTCGCATTTGAAGTTTCTGGCTTCCTTAACTGGAACGGGGATGCCCCAGTGAAATTTTGCCTCCATTAGAGAAATGTTATAATCTAGAAATATCCCTCTGCTTTTCAATAAGAAGACCTTGTGTCTTCTAACTCATGGTCAACGTCCATTAGCACGGAGTGACATCCGTCAGCCCTGCATCGTGACATTCCTGATGACAACTCTGGAATAAGAGTTCTCGTTTTTTACCTCTGGAGTTTGAAATCATCTTAAGGCAAACTCACTATTGCTTCAAAGTAATTATGCCCATTTAGTCAGTCCTATTATTCTCCGTGGGGTGATTGCTGTGGGGAGAGTATTGTTAAGTTTTATCAATGCCTTCTGTAAGAGAAGCATATAGTCTCATGGCAAAAATATCAAAGACGTAGGAAAGGTTGTCGCGGTCCAGATGGGAGAACGCAGTGTGTACAGAGGGACTGCAGAATCACTATTGTGAGGTTTACCCTCTAAACCTAACCTCCTGGGGCCTTCGCCATTATTTGCTGTGGTTGTGTGGTTGCTGCTGTGACTCCCATGGCAGGGGTGTCATTTCGGATTCTCCCACGGATAGACAAATCGATCCATTCTGTGGGCAGGGAGAGAGCTTCCCAGGGAAAGTGGACACCATGATGAAATGTTAATATCCTTTCGTGAGGTCATATACTTTTCCCCAGTTTTTGCTTATGGTTTCAAAGCCTTCTGTGACTCACTCTATGTATTTAACTTAATTTGTTTCTTCCTTTTTGTTTAATGCCTTTCTTCCGTTTTTGTGAGATTATATTAGTCAGTTTTCTCTAGCTAGTTCTTAGATTCCCTTACTTCGCCTGAATTCCCAAATTACCCCCAGTTGGAGAGGAAATTTGGAAGCTGTTTGTATTAGTCTCTAGCTTCAGAGAAACCACTCAGTGGATAAGCAACGCTCGCGGAGTCTCGATTGCCTCGTCTGTAAAATGGAGATGATACCAGCGCTGACCTCAGAGATTTCCATGAAGATAATAAAATACTGACCAGGTACCTGGTTCCTGGTCCACAGGAACAGCTCAGTGCATGCTCAGCCGCGTTTTCACCTACGCTCCTGTAACTTTCTGCATCCTGGGAGGTTAGGGCGTTTTTCCTAAGAGAGTTGCTTGTTGCACCTCAATCTTTCCAATCTATAAAACACTGTGATCTGTTCCACCCATCCCATAAAGAGAGACACTCTGATCAGGAACACGTTAACAGTTTGAACATGAGTGGCATTGGCAGCAACGTCAGCCTTTTATGGTCCGGCTGACCCCTTTTCCTTCTAGATATCAGAATGACAAATCATCCTGTGTTGCGCCTGGGACCTTTCCTTCACCAGGCTTTGAACCCAGACACCTTTGGTCCCTCGGTGATGCCCGCATCCTGTTAGTGGCATATGTGATTGAGTGCTACAGGAATGGCAGTGCCTGTCTTTGTACTAGGCCCCCTTCCCTGAGACATTCATTTCCTTTTGTCATCTGCAGCCTCCCCAGAAGAGCACAGTTGTCATTCTTCATTCATAGAGCACCTTTGTGATTTGTACCAAGACAGTTGCTGAGGATCTGAGGAGAGAGGGGAAAAAATCTCCTCTCTGCTTCTGGGAAAGCATTTTTGTTAAATAAATCGTACTTGTTCTGGACAAAATGACTTTTCATGATACGCAAACAGGAAAGCCTTGCCCTGGGTTTCAAAACATAAGGAAGTCCCTGTCCCTTGGTTTCCTGCCATTACTTCTAGCACAATTGTGGACCTTGGTATTGCATTCATGCTTTAGTAGATTTGGATCAGCAATGGCCTTATATCTTATTACAGCAAAGGAAGCATTCAAAGTATAAAGATTACAATGAAAGAAGCTCTTTCATAAGCTGAATAGAAGTCATTTAAAATGACTAGTTATTTTAAAGTCATATAATGAAAGAATGTTTTTAGGAACATATTTGTTCACATTGTATTACATGTCTCACATGTGATACATTTATATATTAACGTGTTGAAAATCTCACATTTTTTGCCCTTCTCATTTGTGCCTGACACTGCGCTATGCACGTCGAATGCAACATCTCATTGTATTCTTGGGAAACCCTATGCAGAAAGATCATGGTGCCCCCACTTTATAGATAAGAAAACTAAAGCTTGAAAAGTTAAACAAGCAAACAAAAACCACAGCTAATAAATGGTAGAGCTTGGATTCCAATCAAAGTCAGGATGGACCCCCAAACTCATCTTGTAATCAGTATGCTATCCCACCCTGATACGTCTTAGGGATATCCAGTATGGGGCTATGTGAAAGAATAGTGCTTTTCTTACCTATTTTGAGTTCTTTTCAGAGTCATGAAGAAGCATTTAGAATATATACATTTCCATGGTTTTTCACTAGTCTCCTCATTTTGAATTTCATTCCTTTACCCTTTTTCATACCCCCTCCGACAATTGAACCTCTTGCAAAAAACTCAAGCTGAGTTGCTAGTTCCTATGGCAGCAGAGTTAGCACTGAGCTCCCAAGGTTATGGCTTTTGTATGATGTTCAAACCAGGGCTCTCTGATGTGCAAAGTGCCCTCTGTTAGAACAGTCCTCTACCAAATATCACTTCATTTTTGTCTCCTCTCAAATTTCACCTCAAAGAGGATTTTCTTCATCGCCTTTTCTAAAATAGGGGCACACCCCTCCACCACTCTCTACTCTACCCGGTTCAATTTTTTTTTTTCTAGTGCACTTATAAGTACTTCACATGGTGGTACATATTTTCTTACTTACTGTCTGTTTTTCATGCTACAATGGAAACTACCTGAGGATGAAGACCGTGTTTTGTTCCTTTCCAGAGTCTGAGCTCAATAAATATTCGTGCATAAATGACTAGCAAACATTTGGAAGGATGGAGGCTTCACAAGTTGTTTATATAGCTGCAAGAAGACAGGGAGCTGCTCTGTTTCTTTCAGAGAAACTTCTTCTATTGGTAGGTTGGTGAAAGTTAAATGTTATTTGACAGGATATTTAGCATAGAAAATTGCCAGCAGGAACCCTGCTACATGATAAAGCTGTTCACGTAACCTGTTTTTAGTGTCAAAAAGCCTAAAAGATCCCATCTATAACCCCTCACCTCCTCCTGACGTTTCTGTCAAGTTCTGTTTTATGAATAAGGCTCCCCCTTCTCTCCAGTCCCTCCCATCGTTAAATTATCTCTTTCTTTTTGGACTTGTTCAGACTTTGACTTTTTTCCCCCCTAGTAATTTATCTTAGTGATTGGGACATAGGGTCTCTCAGATTCCTCCTGGGAGGGGTTCTCTGAGCCAGAGTTGGGAGA